AAAAAAAGCTGCATAGCAGCATATCTGATGAGCTGCTCAAACCGTGCAGCCGCCCCGGTTTGAAAAAGCACCGGTTCCGCACAACACTCCACACACGTCAAGGACCCTGCTGTGGGACCATGAGTGTCTACCAGGACCCACTGTCAAATGGTTCACGGACACCCCGAACCTCCTCTAAGGAGCTATCGAAACCCCTTAGCCCCAGAAGTCCAGTTCGACGATTTTAGGCACCACCCAATTAAAGGAAGTTCCTGAACTCGGATCACCAATTCAGACCGTTTTTAAAAAATAGTCTTGTTTAAAAGCTCCGTTCAGCCCGACTGGTCCCTATTTGAGACCCCGTCCAACCCCTGAGGATTCGGGTCATTCGGGTCCAACCCCTCCATACCAACAGAGGTTAAGTGACCTGAACTAGGACCCGTCACCTGGGGTACCTATCATAGGATAGTCTATTCTAGTTCGGGTTCGCTCCCCACCTCTGCTGGTAGGTTCGGGTTCAGGGTCGCGTCTGGGTGCACTCTCAGGGTGCCTTTTTTGGGGATCCAGCGGCACCGTGAGGTCGACACGGTGCCGGGTGCGGAGCCGAACCGGGTCGGTTCGGTATGGGTACCGCGACCCGTGAAGGCCCCGGGACCGCGACCGGGCCGTCTCCGGTTCATCCCCCCCCAAATCCCGTTCGTTTGCTTCGGGACCGGGAGGGATGAGCCGTCGTTTTCACGGAGCGTCTGCAGTGGTAGGAACCGAGCCCCCACGGATCGACCAGGATGTGACGCGATGGAGAAGGGGGAGTGGTGCACCGCAGGAGCCGTGAGGGCGGGCGGGCGCACGGTCCGGGAGCCCGCGCGGCAATGCACAGGACCTCGTAGTTCATGTCTCGCTTCGCCACCTCCGAACTCGCCACAGATCCGACAGTTCTGGCGACCGTGACGCCTCACGGTCACCGGCCTCTGAAACCACTCCGAAGTCAGATGGAAGGGGACAAATGGGCCGAAGTGGAAGACGATGTTCCGAAGAAGTCTGGTCCACTGGTTCTTGCAACCTCGACATGAGGCCACGGTGAACTTCGACCACGCGTCTCCGTCCAAGTTCCATGGTGGTCACCCATGTCGCGGAACCGGCCCACGCTGCCGCCGTACCGAAGCGGCCGTCCGCCACGGAGCCACGCCAAACGGCGTCCGCCTCGTTGAGCGTGTGGCTCTCATCGATCTCAAAGTACAGGATCTCACCACCCGACAGGGCAATGACCACCTGCGGAGGAACAACGGATCCGTTCCGTTCGATCGAGAACGGAGGATGGAGGAGGGTGAGTGATGAAGACGAGACGATGGATGGAAATGGATGGCCATAAACGGTTTATCATTGGTTTCACGGTCGAGTGATGAGGCGCTGGGAGCGCTTCGATGTTGGTTGGTTTGATGGAAACGGCGCCTGTCAGTTCCATCCCAATCGTGAAGATGGAACTGGAATACCATATTCCATCTCCCCCCAAAGGATCTTGCATTACATGCACAACCGCCTGCGATGTTCATCACTCGACCGCAGGCATGCCGTGAGCTCGTTCTCAGCGCTCCCTTTCTCACCGTGCCGCATCGGAGGATGAACTCCGCATGGGCCGTGGTAACGAGTCGATTCCGGAAGGCCTAGAGCCGAAAAAAGTCGCTTCATTCCGGAAGCCTGCCGAGTCCGCCTAGTCGCGGTCGGTGCGGATCACCGAGCTTGGGATGCTCAAGTTGCTTAAATTCAAAGATTTGCAATTCTCGAAGGCATCCTTCCCGAGGTGCGTCAAGGACTTCGGGATCGTCACGTTTGTCAAAGAGCTGCACCCCTCAAAGGCACGGCCACCGATCATGGCGACGGAGCTCCCGAGGGGCAAGGTCACCAAAGAGCTGCAACCCTGAAATGCACGTGGCCCGATGTGTGTGACAGACTCGGGGATGACCAACTTTGCCACATGCCAGCAATTCGCAAAAGCACCAGGCCCGATGTGTGTCACTGAGTTTGGGATGATCAAAGTGGTCAAGGAGCGACAATTCTCAAAGGCATCACACCCGATGTGAACCAGTGTCCTTGGCATGGTCACTTTGGACATAGAGCTGCAATTCCGAAAGGCGCTACTCTCAATGTGGGTCAGAAATTTGGGCAGGGCCAACTTGCCCAACTTCCTGCAATTCCGAAAGGCTTCATCCCCAATGTGGATCACGGAGTGTGGGATGGACACCTTCCCCAAACGCCAGCAACTCCGAAAGGCACCACTCCCAATGTGGGTCACTGATTCGGGGATGGTCAAGGATAACATGGCGTTGCAACCTTCAAAGGCAGCAGCTCCAATGTGGGTCACTGAGTTCGGCATGTTCAAGTGCAACAAAGCTGCACAATTGAAAAAGGCCTCATCCCCAATGTGTGTCACCGAGCTTGGCAGGGTCACACTCACCAAAGCATTGCAACCATCAAAGGCACGAGAACCGAGCTTGGTGAGGGGTTTCTCCGCGGTGAGAAGCGAGGCACTCGCAAAATAGCTGGAAATCCACCCGGTCACACCCCAGAGAGGTGCCGGACCCTCGGCGGTTCTCTCGCTTCGAGAAGCGATGTCCGACCTAGGGACGACCACGTTCACCAGAGAGCTGCAGCCCTCAAAGGCCAAATCTCCGATGTGGGCCAGGCTGTTCGAGAGGGTCAAGTTCACCAAGGAGGTGCAACCTTGAAAGGCACGATCTCCAATGTGGGTCACTGTGCTGGGGACCAACAAGAGTTTCAAGGAGCAGCAATTCTGAAAGGCTTGATCTTTGATATGGGTCATGGAGGTGGGGATCACCAAGCTCTTCAAAGAGCTGCAACCCTCGAAGGCACGACACCCGATATCGAGCACGGGCACGGGGAGGGGGAGGTTCCTCTCCAGGTTCAAGCTCTCCAAACAGCTGCAATGCCGGGAAGGTTGCTTCTTCACAGGCACAGTCACAGGCTTGGAGTTGGAGACGGCGACGGCCAAGATGGCCAAAGAGCTGCAATTCTGAAAGGCTTCATCCCCGATGTGCATCAGAGAGCTAGGCATGGTCAAGTTCTTCAAGGAACTGCAATTCTGAAAAGCACGAGACCCGATGTGTGTCACCGAGTTTGGGATGGTCAAGGTTACCAATGAGGTACAAGACTGAAAGGCGCAGTTCCCAATGTGGGTCACCGTCTCTGGAATGGTCACGTGGACCAGCTTTTGACAGCGTTGGAAGGCATGCTCTGCAATGTGAGTGTCCGAATCCGGTATCTCAACAACGACGGGCTGGTTCATGTCAAGGTCATCTGTGAAGTCTGCAAGCACCCTTTGGTGGGAGCATGTCACTGGTTTCAGCTCATTGAACGTAAGCTTCACCACAGCATCATCCTCGATCCCTGCATCTCCCAGCGTCTCATCGTTGCCAAGCAGGTGGTCGTCTCCAACCAGAATGTCCAGCACCGTCGTCGATCGAGCGACCTCATCCGAAAGCTGAGCCTCCTTGATCTGCTGCTTCAGCTCTCGACCTATCACAAGCAGTGGTTCTGAAACCACTACCAGCACCCTCCTGGCCAGTCTGTTAGTTGAGGGTTGTTGGACCCTGTCTCAGGTCGAACCATTGGTGACCTGGCAGTGAGGGTGCTGGTAGTGGTTCTTTACTTGTTTTTCTGACACCTTAACAAAACATTACGACTTGGCAGAAACCACCAGTTGCTTCAACAACCACGGCCTGTCGTCTCTTTCTTCACTTCGAGATGCATCTTCTGGCCATCTGCCAGCACCGCGGAGAGCCGGATCGCCTCTAAGGCCATGGCCATATGATTCACGACGCGCCCGCGAGTGTTCTTGGATTGCATGCCAAGGCTGTGCCAATACTTCACTCCGGCCTCGAGTATATACTTCTAGGCTGTTTTCATGCCAAGGCTGCTTTCTATTATAATAATATATATAGATAGATAGATAGATAGATAGATCTATTTCAATCATCTGCTTTGTCTGGAGGGTTCCACAGCGGGCTGGTTTGTCCGGCTGGCAAGGCTCAAGTTCGGCTCCTACCCTAGCGACCTTATATCTGCAGGAAAACGGCTGGCCGCTAGGAGGCCATATCATGAAGATATGTATGACAAATGATCAAGTGATATCTCATGAATATTCATGAATGAAGCATGTTTGCCGAACAAAGAGCGACCAAGCCTCGCTGTGATTCTTCAGCCCCCACGATCTGGCAACCTGTGTCGCACCATCACCAGTTTTGGTTCTTGGCTTTCCTTGTGACTGATGTGGCTGCGGTTCAAGGCAAATCACTGGCGAACACGACGAAAACGCTGCATCGACTCCGAGAAGCTCAGCATGTCCCATCCAGGGGCCGTGGATGTGATGGGGCACCTGTACTCCTACCTCCGTTCGGAACCGGCACCCCGGAGCTCACGTGACTCCTGGCATCAATGGCCTCGGCCTGGTGATTCGGCGTGTCCCAAAGGTCGCACCTTTTGACAGGTCCTGGCGGGGTGGTTTGAAGCCTCATCCAGGGCAAACCGATCTTTCTTCACGGAGAAGCGGAGCGGAGTGCGCAGCGGAGCGGCCTGGCGCTCGTTGGCCGCGGCGGTCACGATGCGCTTCTGCCCCGGCACGCGCCACCTGGGCTCGCGACAAGCCCAAAGGGGATGGGGCCGGTGTACGTTGCGGGTGTGTTTTCGTGTTCCTTTTTGGGTTTGGGTTCGATGGTGCTTTCAGCACCCAAAAAATGATGGAAGAAGCAATGAGAGGTTCAAGGAAGGAAGATCTGATTCCGGACTGCTTCCTGTTACGCTGATCATAGACACCCCAATGCCAACCAGTGTCTAATCATGACCTCTTAGTCTCTGATTCGATGTTCAGCAAAAACAAGGGATGTCCATGAAGTATATCCCACTTCAAGGTACTCCTTTCGTATGGACATCCTGGATGCTCTTCATTCTTCAGTCGAAAGATGGATCTCAGATCGAATTGCTGCATGGACACGGATTGCTATAGAGATCCGACACATGACACATGATCGTCCTGGGTGCCATGCCCAGGAACCCACCAACCAGAAACGTCCGATCGGCCGATCGAACTCCCCCTCCCCTTCCCTCCCGGCCTGGCGATAGACTTAAGAACTGAAATGTGGCTGGGAGTTCCATGATAACCCCCAAATACCCTAGGGATCCAAGTACTTTGTCAGGTATACGGTGATGTGTTCGACGTAGGTTTGGAGGATTCAAGTATCTTCTGAGGTTCGGTATGACCTGTTGGAGGGTCCTGGTAGGGGTGGTGAAGCTTGGGAGGTCGTTCCGCACGATTTGGGCCACGATTCCGGGCCGGGCGTCCGCAAACTGAATCCGCAAACGGTGCGCTCCGGTGAGGATCCGCCAGTTCACTTCGGCGCTAGTTCCTTCTCCTCCGGACCTTTCCGTGTCGTCTGGGCTCCCCCAGCTCATTCGTCCGTCGGGGGAGCAAGTGGCGGATCCCCGTGGGATGCACCTGTGACGAATCAGCGGTTCGGTGCAGGACCAGGGTCAGTGGACCCCAGGGAAGACAAGCATCACATGCCCTAAGAATCCGGGCCCCTTCACCAACACATAGGGGCCCTGGTTCGGGTCCGGACCCCGGACGCGTTTCGGTGTCGGGTCCGACCTCTGCCATGGAGAGCCCATACGAATTCTTAGGGTGATGACTTTACAAGAGGAACTAAGGGATGAAAAAGCTGGGGAACTGCTGTGAACCAGGCTGGTTTGGATAGGTATCACCAGACTATCACATGAGGCAAAGGTGTGTGGTTTGGTTTCATCGCTTGGAATCAGGCATTGGTCCGAATCCGACGGAGTATTTGGGCATCCCAGCTCAGAAAAGTGGGCATCGAGGTCACATCAACACCCGAGACCTGTCAAGTTACCACTTCCAGCACCCGGTCGACCTGCCAGGTCTCTTCTGGTAGCTGAAATGGAGACTTAAAAGATCTTTAAAGTGTCAGGTGGGGACCTGGCAGTGAGGGTGCTGGTTGAGACCGGTTAGATCTTTCATGGGCCCATCAACCCTGTCTCCACGAGAGGTCTCCTGGCAGTCGTCGGGTGCTGGTGGTTTTGGTGTCAAGTTCCTGGGCGTGGTCCGACAATAGCTCCGACCAGAGGTGATTCGGGGTGTCCAAATGGCATCCAAAAACCGCCTGTGATTGGAAATTCCTGGTTGAAATATGTTGAATTGAGATCCTTTAGCACAGGAAGTGGCTCTGAGTGCGGCTCAACTCAGTGCTTTCATTAAACAAACCGCCCGGTTTCCACCACGGGGGACCGGTCGAGAGACGCGCTGCCGGGGCCGGACCGGTCGAAAGCGCCTGCACGTAGGAGTCATCCGCCATGAGTTGGATCAAGAGCGAGGGCGCTGTGGCCAGGAAACCACTGTCCAAGACCTGGCGGTGCTTCCGATGCAATCGCCCTGCGCACCACTGGCGGGCGGTTCGATCTGCATATACCGCTTCGATCTCCCTCTAAGACTGTGGGAGGGTGGGGACCGAACTGGAAAGACCGAACCTTCTAGGCCGAACCTTCGTGACCTCCACTGGGATCCTCAACCAGCACCGAAACCCTGCCAGGTCTCCGAGTTTTGGAGGCGTTTGTAGACTTGTTCAAGTCGCAGGTGGTGACCTGTTGGAAGGTCCTGGGAATTATACAGTACTCCCTTAAACATCAGAGAACATCCCCCCCTCAAATCGTCTGTATATCTGGATCGTCCTCGAATTTGCAGAGTGTCCGCCGAACTCCGTTCCTAAAACCAGCCCTTCGTTGGGCCGCAATGGGAAGCACTACGTTGGTTGTGATCCAGGTATGCTTCCCCAAGACCCACGAGAAGCCATGATTATTGATGATCTATCTTTCATTGGTCACCTGGGAACCCCACCATCACTTCATTTTGTGGAAGGGCAGCCACATATACGACAAAAAAACACCACCGGGCCACCATCAACCACCCGGCTGTGGAAAAATACAAGATCCAGTGTTGCATGATGTCAAACTGACCTGTCTTCGTAAAATTCACGTAAAAACACTAATTATATTCGATGGTGGAAGTGTTTTACCAGAAGGTCCAGTGTTCTTTACCAGGTCCAGTGTTGTTTACTAATTATATTCGATGTTCCTTGTACCATGACCGAAACCAAGTCCGGTGGTTGCAACGGACACCTCTTCACCTCCAAGAGGCTGTTGACACCTTAAGTTCGGAAGGTGGAAGTGAGCCCCTTCCTTCTTCCCACGCAGAAAAAGAATAAGCACCCAGACGCTCCGTGAAAACAGCTCGACTGTACCGAACCAAACCTTAGGGATTGGTTCGGGTCCGGACCCCTACTTAGGAGGGTCCATGAGCGTCTGGGCACATCGTTTTTGTCCGCCTCCTCGACGGTGTCACCAATGGAGAGCACCAGAGTCACATCTACAAAGGACACCACGATGTATCGGTCGTACTCGCTGTCCATCGTCGCCTCGCGCGAGCCCAAGAGTCGATGGCGTTTTGCCGCTGAAGAAGTCAACTTGGTAAGAATCAGTGGCAAGTCTCATGGTGGAGACTTGTTTTAACAGCGAGAATGGATTGCAGATCAAAGAACTCACGGCCGTTCGGGGGGATCAACCACTGGCCGTCAACGGCCCTAAAACGGTCCACGTCGGCCGCGATAACGGTTCGCTTTATTTCGGTTCGCTGATCATTGACTGGCAACGATCTATCACCGTGTATATCCCTACCTGGAACCCCAAACAACCAGAAAGAAATGGATGTTTCCGCAAACAACCATTTCCTATGTAAAGGATTTCAATTGCCATATTGGAACAACCATTTCTTTCTGGTTGTTTGGGGTTCCAGGTACGACTCCAAATGACTCATTTTACATCATTTTACTATATGGGTATACCAGCACCCAACTTCACAGGTCACCACCTGCGACTTGAACAAGTCTGCATTTCAGCCAGGGGAGACCTGGCAGGGAGGGTGCTGGTATGTGAATTATGACTTCCAGGTGGGGTAAAGTGAGTCAATGGAAGTTCTGGGCAAGTGGTATGCATGCAAGTCATTTGCTCTCTTGCAAGCTCAACATGGATTCCATCGAAAGATGAAGGCTGCGAAGGCTAATTCCATGCATGTTTAGTAAAATAAGGCAATGATGTGATGTCTGAAGAAGCCTCTGCCGCCTCTTCTGGCTAACTACCATGCAACAAACACCACTAGGTCAGCAAATTGACCACCGCCACTACTTCTCTCACCACCCACCTCCACGGCTGTCTTCTTATACCGATACCACTCCACACGTCCCACCATCATCCGAAGAACACACCACCATCCAATGTTGGAGGGACCGGAGCTGTTCTGACAGAGCCTCTCGGGCATGTGATCTCATTGATTTCCCAAAAAGGAATCCAGTTGTACCGTACCTTGTCAGGTACGGTGATGTTGTACCTCTTCTTCCATGATCCTGATATCATGCAGGTGCCATGATCAGGTGGTTCCGGAAAGGTTCTATGGTTCGGTCCTTTCCTTATCCCTAGGCTTCCTGGCCCACCATGAACTTAATAGGCTTTATGGAATCAACTAAGGGTTTTACGCTGCAAAAACCAGGTGAACCATTGTTTTAATGGTCGAACGGAAGTCTAGGGTTCCTTGGAACCTCCATCTCTTTCCCCCCCCCACACACACGCAACGGCGGGGTGGACACCGCCCCGCTTCCAGCCACCCGTTCCGTCCCCGTTCCTTCCGCCCCCGTTCCGCCTTCACCGTCCACACCGCGTTCGGCTTCCCCGGAAGCTCGGACACGGCCATCTCCGTCACGGCCAACCCGTGCCGCAGCACCCGCAACGAGGCGCGCGGGCCACGGCCGCACATGGCGTAGAGCTGCGGCTTTCCTTCGCCTCCGGGGCTGGGCTGGGGAGGAGGTCGTGGGTGGCTTGGGGAAGAGCGCGACCAATGACGGCGTACTCACTTACCCCAGACTTCCGTTCGACCATTAAAACAATGGTTCACCTGGTTTTTGCAGCGTAAAACCCTTAGTTGATTCAGCAAAGCTTATTAAATTAATGGTGGTTCGAAGCCTAGGGCTACGTATATTCGGCGCCTACTAAAGGCGAACGCTGTCATTTTTGGGGCGCGGGTTGGGGGTGGGTTCCGGCGAATGCCAAGGGAGAAGGGTTCGGATCATTTTGGGTGAGATCTTACTACCCTGTGCAGCCTGTGCATGACATGGGAAGGGATGATGTTCAGGTGCCTACCTGTCTCGAATGATGACCTCAAAAGCCTCGAATTCGTCTAGCAGCTCCACTTGAAGGTGAGTTGGAAGGATCTCTGCTTCCTCGCAAGATCTCCAGCCTGTGGCGTCCAGGACCTTCATGTCGATGATGGGAGACAAGGAAGGCATCCTCGACTGGAAGCACCACGGCGGTTTCACCGGCGCAGCACCATGACGACTCACGCGGTTCGAGTGGAGGTGACCCGCCGCTCCCGGAGAGGCCACCGTGAGTGAAGCATCGTCGTTCAGTGGACTAAGAGGTCTCAATCCAAGGGGAACATCAGCGAGTCCCACCTCTGTCGCTTCGCAAGTCGACCGTGACTTCACCCCCTGGCCCTCCGGGTTTGATTCGAAGATCTACCACCGGACCGGGGCTTCTGGACTGGGTCCACATGATGGTCTCAGGAGGGTATACCTCTCACATGTACCACAGTCCCAAGCTTTCGGAGTCTGAAAAGCATCGGACTGATCCACAGGTAGCCCTCCGTCACGGAGGGGTGTATACAGACCCCAGTGAGGCTGGGAGATCCAGATCTCCGCGGAGATCCACTGAGTGAGTTGCAAGAGAGCAAAAGGCTATGACTCATCTTTGGGGAGGTCCAACCACCTGAAAACCTGACGAGGGCCAGGCCAGGGGCTCCTGGCCGGCACCACTTCACACCCCCGCACCGTGGTCATCGCCACCCCCGCACCGCGGTCACTGCCGCTGCAGCCGAGGAGCTCATCGTAGAGCATCAAGTTCTTCAAGGCGCGCGGTTTAAAGGCCACTAGGGCCTGAACTCAAGGGGGTCGAACTCGAGTTTGGTGAAGTCCACAAGTCTGGGAATACTCAGAAGCTGGGTCAGTGCCAGGTACTGAGATCTTCCAAGAGGTGTCTATCCAAAGCCTCTCAAAAAGCTGGGCGAGCTTGGAGGGTTGTTTAGATCTTCCAAGGGTGCAAAAGTTCTGCCGCAGAAGTTTCGGCTGGTTTGATGGATGAAGTTTCAGCAGAAATGTGGCACCACCCGCACCCGACGATAAACAGGTCGCCAGCTGCCACTCTGTAAGTCTCCATAAGTCACCGCAGTGTGTTAAAGAGGTAAATGTCTTCTTTAGCCAACCGCAGGTGCAGATGGAAGATTGCACATGACTCCACAACTTGCACTCAACTCTCAGCCTAACCAGTCGTCCCGTCTCCACCGTCCTCCGCGCATCCATCGTGCGCCGCGCGATGTCCATGCGCTGCCTGCGCTCCGTGAGGATGGGAGGAGGTGCACATCGGATCCTCCTCATCGGTGCCGATGCCCTGTGGAGCGAACGAAGGGCGCCGTCCGCAGCCTGGGAGTTCTCTCAGCACGAAAGACTGCCAGGATCCGATGGACAAGAAGGTAGGAACAAATCTCTGCATCTGGAGGGCTGCACCACCGGTGAAAAAAAATGAACACACATCTGGAACCCCAGTCCCAACCAGAAACAAATGGTTGGAACCCAATATGGCGCCAGCTTGAAATCCTGTTACATAGGAAATGGTTGGGACTGGGTTTCGTTCCATCCATTTCTTTCTGCTTGGGACTGGGGTTCCAGGCACAAGTCACACAAGTGTTCACCAGCGAGAAACGGAGCTCCGTGCGGTTCCTCCGCACGGAGCCGGAACCGGACTGAGGCGGTGCCAAGCTCGGCTTTCGGCTACTGGGACGTGACCCGGGACTGCCAGTCCGGACTGCCGAGTTTCACGGCCAGGGGTGAGGGGGGGGGCCTTTCTGAGGCGGCAGAACGGACTGGCAGTCCCATGGGTCGTGTACCAGTCCAAGACCTGCCAGGTCACCACGCTACCAGAGGAGACCGAGGTAGCTACGGTCGGGGGATATGTCGAACATCCAAACGGTCCTTTTGCGACCAAACCGCCCCAACCCGTTTTTCCGGGCGGCCGCCGTGGCGAACGCGCTCCGGGCGGCCGCGGGGAACGCGCGCGCCTGGAACTGATACAAGGCGTGGTTTCCGAACTCCGCCGCAGCGAAGAGGAAGCCTCGCGAGGCCGTGCGCGTGGCCGCGCACGCCGCACAAGACTCAAGACGGTGCGACGCCCTTCTGAAGGCACCTATTCTAGTAGCAGAACATGTCACTCTCACAAAGTGGAAGGAGGGTTGGAGAAGTTCTTTTTCAGGTCCCTGGTATGGTTTTTGAAGGGCTGCCGATCGATCTTCCGGCGGCAACATGTCTGCCGAACTTCAGTTTTAAAAGCAGCGAAAAGGATCCAAATTTGGCAAAAATGTTGCGCAGTGGGAAGATCTATAATAGGTCCTAGCCCAGCCTTCTGTTCGACCATCAAACTTTTAAAGGTTCACCTATTGCGCAATGGTTCTGACCGTTAGAGACCAGATCCATGCTGCGAATCCAAAAAGCTCCTTCCGTGCGGGCTTTGGCTGGTATCTTTTCTTGGTAAGGCAGCATCCCGTCAAAAAGTATATAAAGAAAATAGAAAACAGTCGGCCAAACCACGGTGGCTTCGAGCCGGATCAACTTTCGCAAAACGACCCTTCGGTGGTGAAGCTTGAACTGTGAGATGGAGCAACTTGGAAGCTCAGAGGAAGTGGAACGGCGACCACAAAACGGGAACCCCTGGAAGGAACCATGTCGAACAAACCCCTTGGGACTACACAACGGGAACCCCTTGGAACCATCTTGAATCCTTGGGACATGCTTTGCAGGAAGTCCTGGCATGGCATGTGGTACATGTCCATCCTTTTCCGACCCCCAAATGACGTAGAAATTGGGCTTCTCGGCCTGTCTTCAGCACGCACAAGGCATTGCTGAGTGGGATCGTGTCAAAATACTTCACCTGCACCTGGCGACGTCGAGACGAGACCCGGCGACCCGGCGAGACGAGACGAGAGTCACAAACACCTCTCCTTCGGCCCTACTAGCACCCGACTCTACAGGTCTGGAGGCTTTTGGAGACTTAACAGTGTGTGGTGACCTGGCAGGTCTCGGGTGCTAGTACACCGACTTCGTCGTAACCTCCTCAGGTGCGAAAGTGAACCCTGGCACCTGCGCGCCCCAGGTCTCACCGATTCGAAGGGAGACCAAACGGGTCCGGGAGTGCAGCGGTGGAGGTGGAGGCTAGGGACCATGTTTGACACCCCGAAAACGAGGTCAGGTGTATGCTAGGGATCCAGTCGTACCGAACCTCAGAAGGTACTTGGACCCCCCAAACCTACATAACAGTGTCGAACACATCACCGTACCTGAGAAGGTGCGACTGGATCCCTAAGGGTATGAAAGGGTCGTATTGATGCCCCTTCTTTCTTCTGCCACTCACGATCGAAACGAAGCCGATTGTGGTGACGTCGGATTTGAGGTTGGGACGAGGTCGCCGTCCGCCTTCCAAAAGCCCCCGGTCCAGTGCATTGGGGGTCCAAAGTCGAAAGCCCCGTAACACACTCGAAAAACCCAGACGGAGTGCGTCAGAACCTACTGCAAGAACCTACTGCCAGGACCTAACACGAAATCGGGTGATTTTGGGACACCCCCAAAATATCACCTCTAAAAACAAGGCTATTTATAGACACCTCGAACGGAAGGTCCTGGTAGGACTGGGTTGGTGGAAAAAAATGCGAATCATGCTGGAGAACATTGGAGAACGATCGTCGGGATCGCTCATGTGTGGGAGGTCTTGAGTAATAAACCCCCATTTGGATGCACGCACTTGCGGTCTCGCTCCCACGCAAATCCCTTGTCAACAGGAGGTGTCACGGGTGTCGCTGGGTCTGTGAAGGGGTCACATCGGGGGCAGTTTGCTTCATCGGTCTACCCAAACGCTCATGGGCTCTCATATTGGAAGGGTCGGACCCTCATATGGAGGGGTCTGGGGTCTCAAATCCCTAGCGTTTTGAGGGACCAAGAGCTGTGAACGGAGCGTCTAGGTGCATGAAATCCTGCAACATCTGTCCAACTGTTGACTCCGCTCCTCAAAGCTGTCCCACACGATCCGAGCACACGATCCACAAAAAGAACCGCTTTCAGATCCTCCACATCATCCCCAAGCCATGTCCTCTACCAACCGCATGCCGCCGCACGTCGACAAACCCCTCCTCCCAGACCGACCGATGAAGGATCCAAATGGATGGATCCGCACGCCGACCCTCTCCATGCCGGACCCCCTCCCCCTCCGAACCCCCGCCTCCGAGACCATGTCCTCGTCGTGGGTCAAGGTGACCTTGTACAGATCGCCGTACCTCGCCGCCGCGCCGCTTTTCCGCTTCCGCTTTTCCGCTTCCGACGTCGGGCGGACCGGCGCGTCGCTTCCGCTGCAGAGGACGCCGTCTTCCGCGTTCCGGGCGGCCGGTGGCGCGCCGGTGACGCCAGCGGTCGAGGGGTCGACGCGGTTCGGCAGCTGAGACAGCGAGGGATCGGGGTGGGTTCGGATCCGGTGTTCGACCGATGCGTTCCATGCGGACTGGAGTTACGTGTTGGACACGAACAGGGCGATTTCGAGCCCTCGGAGGCTTGATTCGACCGTCCACGGTGGACGGTCCAGGTCCTGGAGCATCCGTCAAATGAAAAGGGTTTGGAGGGTCCAAAGGTCCAGACCCTGACCAACACTCAGTGTCGGGGTCCAAAGGTCGTCTGTTTCCCATGGAAAAAAAATGTTTTTCACCTACACCTGGAACCCCAGTCCCAACCAGAAAGAAATGGATGGAACGAAACCCAGTCCCAACCATTTCCAAAAACTAAAGGATTTCAAGCTGGCGTATTGGGTTCCAACCATTTGTTTCTGGTTGGGACTGGGGTTCACATACAGGAAAAAAACGGTGTTTTCCTATTGGTTTTCCCCCGGTGTTTGATGGTTGGTAGGTCCCTGGTCCGTCTATCCGTCTACGAAGTGCTGAGCTGAGCAGGCGAGCTGGCGCTGCCTCAGGTGAGCGCTGGCTGCGAAGCCAAAACCTTCAGGAACTCATTAGAACTCCAAGAGAGGTTGAGCGACCGCTTCACGTTCGGACCCTAGCGGCCCTAGCTGTATATGGGATGGGCGACCTTAAACACGGCTGTGAAAAGACCCTCTCTTGGCTCCTTTCCACTTCATCCCCATAAACATGATCCACTCCATGCCACTCACTCTGGATCAGGAAGAAGAAGAAGTCCTGATGGGCAGCCAGCCAATTGGTGCTCAGATCACTTGGTACTGGGTTGTTCCCATTGAGGAGTCTCAAGGCGTTCACACCAAGCAAACAAACTGGTCTACAAGATATGGAACTGATGGACAAGGGAAACCGGTGCTGAATTCTCAGAACTCTGCTTTCGAATTGTGGCACTTGAACTCGTGGAATCTGAACCAAGGTGCTCCAATAAGCTGCCTAAAGTGCTCCAAAATCAACAACCAAGGTGCCGCCAGGAGTCCAAGACTCTTGCAAAAGTTGTCTGACTTGGTGACAGGAATGTCATGGAAGTTCCTTTACTTCAGTAGTGCCAAATATAGTCGAACTCACAAGACTTCTATGGGGATGAGTCGAGTCAATTGAGGTCAGCAACAAAAAGCAGCATCTGCTCCAGCTCTTTCAAGTCAGCATCTTCCCCTCTTTCTTCCACGACCTGCTCCAGCTCCGGGCCCCATCAAATTGATCCCTTGCGGCCACCGTGCCCGAACCTCCCAACCCATCGTTTCGGCCGATGCCGATCTCCTTCAGCTTGTGCGTGGCATGCGCCACGATGAGCAAGCCCTTCTCTTGCGCCATCTCCAAACGTCGGGGAATGGCACAAACGACATCGGGATGGCCCTGCTTCTTGTAGACCAAGCAGTTCTCGCAGCACACCAACCTCAGATCTGGCAAAACGATCCCCGAAAACGATCTTCGCACCCGGGGTCCGATTTGGGCAGCCTCAGTCCGACTGGTTTTCCTCTCAGATTGTGAGTTTTCAGCCAGCACCTTCCAACAGGTCTCCGAAATGGAGGGTTGTTAGGCCCTAACAGGTTTCAATTGGTGACCTGTTGGAGGTGCTGGAGTGGGGTGAGATGATTTGAGATGAACTCAACTGTACCCTTGGGCCCCTCCCTTGGAGATGAGGTATAGGACACCAGGTTTGCAGTCTTGGGACCTGTAGAGATTGGAAGGTCTGGAAAACCTTGCCTTTGGTGAGTCACAACCTTGCGGACAAACAAAACAAGAGGGTAGACGTGCACGGAGGCGTTGCCTTTGAGCTCCAGTTTGCATTTGTGAGACCTATGCTATCAACCACCCCAAAACATCCCAAAAAAGCCTCCAAGTAACCTCCAAGTAGCCTCCAAGACCTCCCAAGACCTCCCAAAACCTCCCTTGCAGTAGCTTCCAAGCTCCTTTCTTGCCCTAGACTTCCAAGACCATTTAAAAAATGGTTCACCTGGTTTTTGTAGTGTAAAATCCTTAGTTGATTCCATAAAGCCTATTAAATTAATGGTGGGCCAGGAAGCCTAGGGTTGAGGGGAGCCGCTCACTTCCCCTTCCGCTCCCGTTCTCACCACGGCACACGCCGCTGGGGCCGTCCACGCCGCCCGGCACGGCGATCAGCGCGTGGGCGCTGTGGTCCACGGCGTCGGCGAATTTCCGGGTCACGTGGTTCAAGCCCAGGTCCATCTCGTACCTCGGGTCTACCCGACGAGGATTGGCCGACTCCTGCATCGCAGCCTTGCCTGCGTCCTCTTCCTATGGGCTTCCGAAAGCGAGGTTGGAGGTTGGGGGGGGGTGGAAATGGTGCGGAGGGCTTGGGGTGGTACCTCGGGCTGGTGCGGAAAACGAGGAGGGGAGTAGGTGGTGCGCACCGACGGTCGCACGGTCGACATCCGCACGGTCGACACTGCTGAGTGTCTGGTCGCATGGGTTGGTAGATGGGGGTGCCAGACCGAGGTAGAGTCAGTCGATGTGGATGGGCCGAGGTTGTTGGGGTATATCCCCTCTCATCAACCAACTACAATAGACTTTAATAGAGGAAATCCTCCATCATCTCCCGCCAGTGCTTTGGGCGTCTTTGGGTGGACATGTGTCTGACAGAGCGGCGATGGAAGATGGAAGAAGGTGGGACGCTGCTCGCACCAAACAGTGGGGACACCGTGGGGCTCGCATCGTGGGGCCTCTTCGGGTGGATCTCGTGGATCGACCAGGAGTCGCGTTTGACCGGGTGCCGGTTCCGAACGGAGGTAGTCGGGGTGCCCCGTCGTCACATCCGCTCACTGGATGGGACAAGCCACACCACCCCGACATGTGACCCCTGGAAATACAGTCTTTAATCAAAGTGACCTTTTGAAGGTTCCTAAGTGCCCCTTAGGAGGCTTAAGTGACCGAACCAACCAGGTTATCAAAAGGTCACTTTGAAGAACCAGGAAACATGTTTAATCAAAACATTGGAATGACAATGCCAAATCCAAGAATAAAGGACAAACACTCCATGGGACTGGAAGATATGTTCATGCCTGCATTGACCCTCAAACACCTGGCCTGATCGGCATGGATGCTGACACCTCCCCATTTCCTCAGATCCTCCGGGCTCAGCCGCAAGGTCAGCATCTTCTGTGGAGGCTCCGCATGGGGATCCTTGTCGACCTGGCAAGAGAGGCCGCCAGGGATTGGCCACGGACAACCCCCCAAGCCGTCGAAGCATGTTTAACCCTTTGGAAGCAGCTTTATTAAACATATGGTCCTAAAAGCAATGAAAAACCCTGAAACAAAGAGGTGGCCGCCGGCCCATACAAGGAAGCAAGCAGCTTCGAGTCGAGCCATACATACCAGCATCCTGCTCACCGACCTACCTTGCAGCAACAAGAATACTTCCACCTCACAGCCCAATCACCGCAGCTCGAGCGCCAACCCCCAGCCCAACTCCCCTCACCCCTCACAGGTGGTTCCCTGTCACCCGGAGGCGTCCGTCGGGCCTCCTCGTAGCTCAGCTCGATGCTGGCGAACAAGGGATTCTCGAAACCCACGTCCATGCCCACCATGGCGTAGACCAACGTGTAGCCTCGCCACGCGCCGCCACCACACCGGCCCAACGCCACACGGAAGGCTGTCCAACAAGGGAGCGGAGGCGGAAAGAAGAAGGCATGTCTTGGAAGATGGATTGAAGAAGACAAACCAGGGCCTTAACCAAGTCCGGTGCTTTTTGAACACCCCGAATCACCACTTTACGAGGTTGTTGATCGACACCTCGAGGAAGATGGCACGCCCGGTCGGGTGCTGGACCCGCCCGATGCCCGGAAGCGATTTCGACCGGAAGATGTGCGGCGCCACGGAGAGAGAACATCGAAACATCTGGTTTCGTCCAGTCGACGAACGAAGAAGAATGGTCTGACGAGTTCGGTGACCCGGTCGTCCGGGAACTTCCTGAAACCTTCAGCCGGTCAAACATATATGGTTTTTGGACTTCTAGGGTCTATCTACCAGGAGTCGCGTTGGACGTGCCGGTTCCGAACGGAGGTAGGAGTACAGGTGCCCCGTCGTCACATCCGCTCACTGGATGGGACAAGCCACACCACCCAGGCCCTCCATGTGACCCCTGGTACCAGGACCTTCCACCAAGTCCGGTGGTTTTGGGGCACCCCGTTCCTCACCACTTCACGAGGCGTGTCGACACGGTGGCCGCACTTGGAAGGGAAGTCGGGGTGCCGCGTCGTCACATCCAAAGCGGGAAAACCACCCAGGCCCTCCATGTGACTCCTGGTAACCAGTACCCTAGCCTTCAAAGACCATTAAAAGAACGGTTGAGCTGGTGGTGTAGTGTAAAATTCCTTAGTAAAACAATGGTTGTTTGAATCCTAGGGAGTACCTGGTTCTGGTAACCACCCAGATTTCGGATCGTCTGGGTGCCACGAATGGAGGATAGGCAGGTACCCCTGTCAGATCAAGCCCAGAAGTGGGACTCAAAACCAGAAGTTCATCATACCAGCGCCTGAAAGGCTGAGTCCATGCTTTTGGAAGGCCTTTTTGGAGTGATATCTCTTGATCTTGGTGATCTTGGGAGTGTTCTCTCAAAAATCCACCTCCACTGCCTCCACCTCTTCACCTTCAGTTACAACGCCCCTCCCCGTCCTTCCGTCCCTGTCCGTTCCTCCTTCTCTTTGCTTCTTTCGCCAAGTCACTCTTGTGCGCCTCCAGAGGAGAGGAAATCGTCAACCGCGCCGCTGAGTCTCGGTTGAGGATGTAGACCTCGTCTAATTCGCACCCCGCCGTGCTGTAGACCGCAGCACCCCTGACACGGCCCAGCAAGTCGGTGCAGCACGCACCATCCAGGTCAGGGTTGCACCCCACAGATCCCGTGATCGGACCCACCAACGGTCCCGGTGTTTCCGCCCGGCACTCACTGAACCGTGACTGGACTCCTGCTTTTTCCGCAACTGTGCATCATCCACCGATATGCCAGGACCGATATGGGGTAGTGCATGAGTCGCCTCGAAAACCATGGACCAAAAAGGTCTCCATGTCACTCGTTTTTCCCCAAGAACGACTTGGTCTCCGACTCCGACCGCGTCCGGAGTCGTTCAAAGCCCAGACGATGCCGGCGATACCAGGAAGGTCCTCCCTCCAAAACCAGGTCACCAATGCTTTGACCTGGGCCCTTCGGCCCTTCCCAACGAAAACGAAACGGAACACCTTCCCAACCCACTCTGGTCCGAAACCGATCGGACGTCGTTTCGGGTCCGGTCACCGTTTTCCACCCCGCTCCGGGGGTCCAGATCCACGACGTTCCCGCGGGCCGTCGGCCCCGCTAAGCTCTGCAGCAGTCCGAGGAGCGAATTTCTGCTTCTCAATGGCTCCGATCAACACCGCGCCTCGCACCGGGCGCGCGCGCACGCGCGTGCGCGCGAGCCGCAGGCAGTAGACCGAAGGAGCGTCCGAGTCACCGAAGGCGTCACCGAGAGCCCGAGAGCGCAAGATCGATCTTCCCTTAAAAACGAATCAAGGCGTGGTTTGGAATCCCTCGCAAACGCCTAAAACAGCGTCGGAAAGGTGTTTTATGGAAAAAGACTTCAGTTGCTTCTTTGGGACCAAACCTTTGGTTGGGGATGATCCTGGCCCCCGACCCAAAGCCGCTGAAAAAAGAACGACAGGAACCAGCAAGGCTGACCCATGTGTTATGGTCGCAGTCCTCGAAACATGGGACATCCCGACGAAAGCGAGGTCGAAATGAATATCTCGCATCCACATCCGCGAAGAACCAGAAAAGCCGCCTCACCAAACAGCGGGGCCAGCACAATTGACAAAGGAGGCCGGTGGATGCGCTGTCACAAGATAGAGAGGGAAGCGGTTCGCCTTTCACCTGTTTCACCTTGCTGTCTCATCAAACCCAAATCTAACGTGAACCATGTGAACAACGCTGTACAACCAGAAACCCGAATGCTTGCCAAACTGAGAGTCCAAGATTCTAAACATGGTGTTAAACACCGGAACGACTTGATGTTCAGTGTAAACATGAAGAATCAGCATCTCACAAAGGAACCAACACGATGTTATGGTTGTTCAGCCCCTTCGGCCTGCGACCCTGGGCCCCGTGGCGCCATTCGTGCTGGGGCCTTGACCCTCACCTCTCCGGGCCCCCGGACGGCCCTTAGGATCGACTGCCAGGTACTGTCCCGGCCTCGCGACGAGCCCATCGCGGCGACTCCACGACGAGCAGTTCGACTCGCGACTGGCGACTGCGGAGCAGTTCGAGGACAAAAAAAGCGTGGAAAAAAGGTCAAAGCAGGACCCTCCCTTCGCTTGGGGTAGACACCAGCTGCTTTGAATGGGTGTCCAATGGACAAGCCTTCATTGCTTAGAGGTCTCCAGACAGGGCACCGGAAGTGCTAGGTATTTGACGATCGTCGTCAAGAAGTGATTCGGGGTGTCCAAAAACCACGGCGATTTCGTGTCAGCTCCGAACCAAAATGAACCTTGCGACTTTTGGGGCGTCCCCCTGGTTTCGTCCAGTCTGACGAGTTCGGTGATCCGAGTGAGTGCAGGAACTTCCTGAACACTTGGGTGGTGCCTAAAGTAATCGAACTGGACTTCCAGGGTTCGGTTCTGAAACGTCTGCAGCAGAGCTCACGTTTGAGAACTTGGAAGTTCAGACTGTGAGATGAAGTGGCATGGCATTTGGTACCTGTCCCTTTTTTCCGGCATCAAAAGAGGGCCCTTTGGGGCCTTCACGGAGCCTTGGAAGTCCAAGACCATTGTTTAAATTGTTGACCTTAGTGTAAAACAATTGTTGTTCGGGTAAAGGCCATAAAATGCTGGTTCGACTTCTAAGGAGAGCGTACGTGCTGATCTTGTGTGTGTGCGCGTTTCCAGAGAAATACTGATCGTGCGATTCCTGGAGAAAAGAAAGGTATACGGGCTGTTTATTCAGAATTTCATGAAGGTTTATACAAACTATTGCTAGAGATTCGACGATTCAAAGAGAACACAAGTCTTGGACCTCCAAGGAAAACAAAACGCAAGTCAGGGCCGCCGCCCCCAATCTACAGCCGTCCGGGCACCAAGCCGTTGGGCGGCGGCATGGCTCCTTTCCGTTGGGCCGTTGTCAGGTGGCGAACGCCGAAAAGCTACAAGCACGTACCCAAACGCTCCATGTATGCGTGCATGGGATGGTTTCAGGGGTGTAGCCATATATCACAGGCGTGGAGCCTCTCAAATGATCCGCAAAGCTCGCTCATCCGCAAAGTTCCTGATGATGGTCTTCGCTCCCAAGACAACTTCTTTCCCAAGGAGGCACACGCTTTTGACCAAATGGGTCATGGAGCTCGGAATGGTCAAGTTCTTCAAAGAGTGGCATTCACGAAAGGCGTGATCTTCGATGTGTCACTGAATTCGTGATAGTCACGATTCACCTAAGTGCACCCTTCTCAATGTGGGTCACTGAGTCCGGGATGGTCAAGTCTCTCAATGAGTTGTAAAGCTGAAAGGCATAATCCCCGATGTGGGTTACTGAGTTCGGAATGGTTAAGTTTGCCAAAGAGTTGCAACTCGCAAAGGCACCATCTCCGATGTGGGTCACAGAGTTTGGGATGGTCAGCTTCGCCAATGTTCACACTCGTAAGAAGCATCCTCAAGAATGTGCGTTTCACCGTTGGGAATTTCGACCACTAGCAGCAGTTCGGAGTCGACGATGCCGCCAAGACTGGTGATCGCATCTTGGTTGGAGCATATCACGACATTTGGTTTGAAGACAACACTCACAACTCACAACAGTATCTTCAGCAATTCCAGCATCCAATACCATTGCATCATTGGCCAGCAGGTGGTTGTCTCCAACAATGATCTCTACACCTGTAGTGCTGCGAGTGAGCTCATCCCAAGGCTGTTCCTGCTTGATCTGCTGCTTAAGGGCCCAGCCTGTCGTCTCTGGCGTTACTTCCAGAGCAAGGAGTTCACCACTCTGCTGTAGCGCCGAAATTGTTTTTGGCCATGGCTCAAATAATCTTGACGGATTTGGATTTGAGCGGTTTTTGCTGGCTAGCCTGGCTAGTCAGCTAAGAGCAGCAGTTCCATGATCTTGAAGAGACATGGACATGGACATTCGAGGCGTCGCCGGGACAACATGGCGAACACCTTTTTTTGATCAATCGCAGGTGAGTTTAACACCTCCGTGCTCCCATCCTCAGGAAAAAGACATCCTCCCTACTTGGGAACTACCCACCGCTCCACCTTCCCTACTGGGAACCAAAAGCCCACCTCCCTGCTTTTTCGAGATCGCGATCCATTGGGGGAGTTTGACCCGAACAGGATTCCAGCCACCCACCATTGATCCCAAATCGCCTGTTTTTCCCGAACCACCATGGCTTTTGCGACAGATGTTACACTACAGGTTACCATGCAGGGCACCAGCCGAACTCTCTTTTTGCCGAACAAAGATGGTCTTCTTACATCCGGAATTCGTGTTCGGCGACCGGAGGCAGAATCCACATCAGACGAGTCTGACGTAGATGGATGTTCGCTCGGACGTGCCAGACGACGTGATGTCGCCAGGCCATCTGTTAACGTCGTTGATCCGTTGGCCTCCCATCTCCTCCCATCGAAATCAACCCGTCTGGCCCGGCTTTTGAGCGAAGGAAGACCTTCGCAAGTGAAGGCCGATTCAAAAAGTTGCAACACGTTCCAAAGAGTTGGGGTGTCAAAAAAGGGACAGGATGTTGGAAGAAACACCGTCAACCTGGATGTGAGAATTCAAGCCTGATGAGGCACCAAGCCTCAGGGACTTTGTTTCGAGGCACGAAGCTGCTTGATGAATCCTGCCTATCATGCACTTGTCTCCCTCCCTTAAAGTCCGCTTCCATCCTTTAAACGGGAATAATCCGGTTTTGTAGTGTAAACCCTTTAAACAGCTCGGTAGTTTGGGAAAAACAGGTTTTTAAATGTTTTTAAACTCTATTAGATGAATGGTGGGCCACGACTTCTAGGGCTCCTGGTGACTCCATCTGCTCCCATCGGCTCCCTGCGGCTTCCAGGCGTCCCGACACGATGCGGCGGCAGCCCGTCTTGCCGAAGGTCTCCTGATGAACCTTCTCAAACCTCAGAGAGCTTCGGAAGATGGGCCAAGGGCAGCTGGGCGCCATCGAAGCATCACGAAACATCGGACAGAACCCCAGAGCAAGCACTATCACGAAGGCGCCAGTGGACAGCATTGGACAGCCAATCTAGGACGTTACGATCCCCAAACATGCTCCAAAAACAGCAGAAAACAGGCGACCCCGCGGAACGACCCTCGGGTTCCGAGGACAGAGGAACACTCCCTCCTTCGTCCGGAAGCCGCGGAACCCAGCGGAATTCGCTGCTTCTCGTTCCACGGACCGCCCGATTTCGGGATCGCGGGTCGCTCGGAGGCGATCGCGCGCCGGATGAGGGAAAGGTCCTCGAGCGAAAAATGTCCTACTTCAGTTGGGATGTTCATCTACCAGGACCAAGCCCCATGGGTTTTTGGACACCCCGTTCCTCATTTTGGAGGTGAGCGAGGCGAGGCTATTGATAGACATCTCGAAGGGAGGGTCCTGGTCAAAGGCATGTCTCTTTGAACGTTCCAACGATGCAATCCTGGAAGATCCCAACGAAAGTCTCTCCCGAACTGGGGCCGGTTTTGCTATAGATGAAAAGGTGGAAAACTGGTGCATAGTAGCTGGACGATCGAGGTATACTAAGAGTCACAAAAGGGTGGTGTGGCTCGTCCCATCCAGGGGCTGTGGATGTGACGACGGGGCACCGCACCCCGACTACCTCCATTCGTCTCGCACCCCGTCGAACGTGACTGCTGGTATATCGCTTTTTCGGCACCTTGCCTGAGACTCCAAGTTTCACTGACGCACCTATCAAGAAGTCATTACTTAGGTCGTTTGAAGATCTTGTTTTGCCCCAGTAGAGTGACTATACATCTGAAGCTACTGTGACACCCTAAAAGCCACTTCTGTAGATGGAAAAAGCCTCGAATCTACACTTGCTGCTGCTCATCCACGGCGCTCAGAGCTGCCAGAGCTGCAGCTCTGCAGCTCCGCTGCCGTGCTTTTCTGGGGCGCTGATTTCCGCGATTGAAGAACGAACCTCTGGGTCGTCCGCACATGTTCTTGGTGCCGTCGTACTCTAAGATCACGATGCGGCCCGAGTCCGAGGCCACCACCTCGGGGCGAACGTGTGCGATTTTTTGGAGCTGCAGAGAGCGCCGGGTATGGATCCTCCAATTCGTACCTGGACCCCGGACCCCCAGTCCCAACCAGAAACAAATGGATGCTAAAATATAAATGACAATTGGGATCCTTTACATACCAGCTGCTTCCAATGGGTTTTTAATGGACAACCCTTCACTGCTTAGAGGTCTCCAGACAGGGCACCCGTTGGAAGTGCTAGGTAGCATGTGGCCACATCCATGAATTTCTGGTTGGGACTGGCTTTCCAGGTATCGGTGTTTTGAGGGACCTTGGGCTATGGAGTTTGGAGCGGAATCCCAAGGCGAACCCAAATCTGCAAAAGTTGGTGCAGCCGATGGATATCTTGGTGTCATAAGAAGGATTCATACCTGGATCTTCCAACTATGCACAATTTCTGCCGAACTTGGCTGAATTTTACAGGTATACCAGCACCCGAGACCCTGCCAGGTCTCCGAAATGGAGGCTTTTACTGACTTAAAAGTTGCAGGTGGTGACCTGGCAGGTGTCGGGTGCTGGTATACATGCTTCTTCCCAACGGTTAATCAGACGTATCGCTATATTGTCTTTCAAATCCGTGACTGCTAGGATGCTTGGGGTGGAGTAATTATGGTCAGTTTCCTTGACTCTTCCACAAAGAAACCCTCCACTTCCTGTGGCCATCCACGTGGCCATCCACCCATCCACGTAGAACGATTTTCCCGACCCACTTCCTCCACTTCCTACATCCGCACGATGACGTCCTTCCCGTTCACCTAAACTACCCCAGACGAGCATCCGAGACTCTACAGGTCTCCTCCTTCAAGGGTTCTTCAAGGGTCCTGGACCCTAATAGGTCTCAATTGGTGGCCTTTGAAGTCGGATGCTGGTATATATATATATATATTGCAGTTCTCTTCCCATCCACCCTCCCACCCCAGACCACCAGACCCAGACCCAGCTCGTCCTCCTTGCGCCCCCAGGGGCGATGTAGTCCCTGGAAGCACCCGTCAAGCGGAAGGGATTCAGCGCTCGGATCACCCCGAAGATCTCCTGATGGCGACATCGGTCGCGGTCGCGGCGGAGAGGACACCGGTTTCGCGTTTTAGAGGACCTGCGGTGTTTTCGACCATGTATAAACTGGTTGATCTGGTTTGGTGTAAAATCTATAGAACTAGGACCCGGAAAACCTGGGGTGCCCAACTGGGATAGTCGAACGGCTCGGGTTCTTCAACCTCTGTTGGAAATCCTAGTATAGAACTAATGGTGGCTCGGCCAAAATCATTTTAGATGAATGCTGGGCCTGGTGTATCGGGGTATCTCGTGTTTGTGGACGGGTTCCAGCTCTTTCAGCGGACTGTGGCCCACCGTCGCTCTCTTCAGAGAGAACGCGACGTTCTTGGATGGCTGAGTCGTGCGTTTTTTCTCCGCAAGAATGCTCCGCACCAGGTGTGTGCTCTTCAGTCTGAGCTCCGCACCACTGCAAGAATGCTCTGGACCTTTCCACTATCGTCGGGCCTCGCTCGCTTTCTCGCCCCGTCGGTTCCACGTTCCGCGTTCCGCGCCGGTGAACGGCGCAGGTCGCTTCAGCTCGAACGGTCGTCTGGAGGGCGCCATTGGCTATCCGGTGGATCAGGTGGGGTGGCAAACCACCACAGAGTCAACCAATGTCGGGGCACTCCAGTCGGACGCTCCATGGATACAGGACGTAGCTCCAGTCAACCAAGACAGACCAAAACAAAATTGCACAATACCAGGACCCTCCAAGGGGTGCTCAATGGAAGCCTACAGGTAGTGTGGGGTAGTCCATTGGACACCACTTCAAGGGTCCGGGTAGAGTGGGGGCCCAGTCGACTGTTTGAACCAATTGGTCACTGACTAGGTGACCCCAAAAACAATTTCCTTTACTGGAGAAAAGAATAGTCTGTGAATGTCTGTGGACTTCTAGGGTACATAGTTGAGGAAAAAATGGTGTGTTCCTGAAAACTCCTTCGTGTCACCATTCTTAATTTCATCCCAAAGATGGATGTCGACTTCTCCATGAAGTACCTGCCAGGTCATCAAGGGCTCTTCCCCAGCAACCACTTTCGGAGGCCACACTGATCGTCGGGTGCTAGTAGTTCCCTCATCCATCTTGACCCCGCATCTCTGCGTACCCCAGTGTTTTAATCAGTCTGATTAACAAAGAACCGATCATTGGCCTAGTGGTTTCTCCTCTACACTCTACACCATCAGGTGGTTCCCATAATGGTCGAATTGGAGGCAAAGGGGAGGTTCTTCCCAGCCGTGAGAACGACAAACACGCACTCGACCAGCAGCGAATGGGAACGCTGATGAAGTGTAGGCGAGTGGGGGCACTCCCATCTTCCCTGATCGAAACCAACGACATGCCCAGTTGTTCTGCCGAGTTCGTGAAGGGCTCATTTGTATGGCCCAGACGCTCCAAACAGGCCGACCGGTCCCTCAAAACCAAAGGGATTGGTTCGGGTCAGAAAACCCCTGCATATGAGGGTACTGAAAGTAGTAGGATCCAGGGTCGCGTCTGGGGGATGCAGTTCAGCAGAACATGGGTCATGTCGGTGCAAGGTCCAACCTGTACCGCCCTGATCGAAACATGATCTGCCGAACTGAACGCCTCTGCAAGCACGGCACCCCGTCGATCGTTCGGCAGACATCGTTCAGCGCTACGTTGGAGGATTGTTCGGTACAGCCTACACCTCCACTAAGACCAACTGAATGCGTCCTCCGCGAAGCCAAGGCACGACTTCATGACTGACGACTCAGCGCCACTGGCATCCTACACTTCCACTGGGTCTCGGAACCTGAGAAGCTCCAAGGTCTTGTACCGCGCGCAGACGATCTCCTGTGGATGTGCTGCGCGATTGGAGTTGAGTGTGTCGGGAGCAGATGGTGCCTTTCTTTGGGGGTCTTGTGTTGGTTGAAAGCCGCTGATTGGTTGAAAGGGCTGATGAAGGAGTGTTGTTTGTGACTGGAGTAGACAAGAGTACACAAAAGAGCTGAAGAAGGGCTTTTAAGAAAAGGGGTGGTGGTGAGCAAATCATGGGATAGAAGAAGCTTGGCAACAAAATGGTGAACAGGAGGTCCACCCCCCGTCCCATAGGACAAGTCCGGTAAAGGCTGTGGCTAGAGCCATGGTTTATGGCCAACCCAACATAAATAGCCCTGGCTGCCATAGAACTTCTAGAATAAAATCTGTCAATCAAGAGAGTCAGTCACGCGCCGGCACTTGAGAGTCAAGCAAAGAACCCTGAAAGAAAATCTGGTTTATGCAATTCTTTGGTTGCCATTCCCCTGGGAGTCAAAGACTATAAAAAGAATGGTCTTTAGGGGAACTGAAAGGGAACTTCCTGAAACCTCCAGCCAGTCAAAATATCGTCGAACTGGACTTCTAGGGAATTCTTTGGTTGCCATTCCATTGAACAGACTGTATCTGCAGAATCCGTCTTTAAGAGCCGACTCCCGACTGGAACTGCATCTGGGCTATGGAGTCCTTGTGAAAAACCACCCGACTCATCACCCGCGGTGTCCCGCAATTTCCGCGGGAACCGCGGGAGGTTCCCGGCTCCTGGGCTTTTGGTGCACTGAAGTTGCCATAGATGGCATGGGTGATCTGTGCCGACTCCGCGAATCGTCGTGCGATGAAGGGGGACTGACTGGGACAAGTTACTTGAAGGGGTCATGATTCCCTAGGATCCAGGAAAGTGCCGAACCTCAGGTTCGGTACGACTGGACCCGACGTCAGTGTCGAACACATCACCGTACCTGAGGTTCGGTACGACTGGAGGTGATTGAAACGGGGATTTTGGTTCATGTGATACCCCAAGACTTTCAGCCGCTTTCAGCCGAGGCGCTCAACCGATCGGGATTGGTGAGAGATCCCTGACCCCTCCGTTTTAAACTCCTTCCGCAACATGCGAACCATCCCTCCAAACACCATCGGTTCCAGATCCAATGTCCTCTCACCATCCGGTCCCGCGTCTTCGCCCACCGGCCAACGCGTCCGCTCCCTTCGCCCAGACGTCGATCGGACGAACCGGGACAGTCGATCCGGACCGTGGGTCTGACGAACCCGTCGTCGGTCGCGCGCGCGCGCGCCGCGGAGGATCTCTGGAGCGTCAGTTGATAAAGCTTCGGCCTCGGAGGCGGCAGGCGCGGCGAAGGCGCAGGCGCGGCGATCGGGAAGGGCGCAGACGTGCCGGGATGGTCGGGCAAAGTCCAACCGGCAACATGTCAAATGAACAGCTGGCTTCGACAGAGAAGACAAGTTGGGCAAACAAGTTGGTTTCATAGGAGTTGGAAGATCTAGGTGCATGCAAAGTCCAGCAGTTTCATGTCGAGTCCCATTCAGGCCTCATGAATGTGCTCGGGGCCTCATAGACGGGCACTCCGTGACCTCCAACACATGCAACTACTAGATAGTTGCAGTTCCCCAAAGACCCAAAGACCCTAAATTGACCCCCACTATGCACCCTCCAAAAATTGGAGGCGCCCGTGGCCAAATCGTACTCCAACAGGTCACCAATTGAGACCTGCCCTCTACCTGCACCCTCCTGGCCAGGTGTTTCCTGGTGGCAAGAACCCAACTTCCCCACCTGTGGGCCCCAATGCAGCCTGCCCAGGAGGGTGCTGGTAGAGTCTGTAGGAAGGCATCCCTCCAAAACCGACCGCTCTGAGGCCCCCTGCATCCCGAGCCACTCAAGCCCTCGGAGCTCCGGATCACGACCGGAGACCGGCCCCGAATCCTTTGGAGGGGTCGGACCCGGAGTCTCCTCTGCAAGGTTCATGGGTTTCTCACCAATCCCGATCGGCTTGGCTCGAGACCGGGAGGAAAAGGGCTGTGGAAAACGGAGCATCTGTGTCCGGTGGCTGTCGATTCGCGCCACTGAGGCCCGCCGGCGGCGGTCGATCCACGGTGCGCTCGGCTCGGCGCCCCAACTTGCGTCCGCCGCGGCGAGCGCGGCTCGGCGCCCAAAATCGCCCCCCGGTCAAGCCTGGAGCCCCAAAAGGTCCACATGGAGCCGGGTCGGCCGGTCGGAGCAGCAGCCGCGAACGAAAGAATGAGAAGAAGCCCAACAGGTCGCCCCGACGTTTGGCGGTTTGGGAACAAGCCGCTTCGAACCCGGTGTGAACGAACGTGGACAGTTGGGGAATTCCTGTGATGAGTCTCGACCCTCTCATGCAGGGGCCTGACAGGGTCCGTGCTCACGAGCTTTCTGGTCGGGAGACCCAGCACTGATTGCAGGATCCCGAGACTGATTTATTTTTACGAATCCTAACCTCATTTAGACTGGGAGTTGGTCATACAAAAAAACGACTTGGGGTGAGGTGTTGAGCAAGTTTGGACCTTGGCTTGGTCAGACTGGACCTGTGGGGAGTGGTAGCCTCCAAATTAGGGGACCCAAACATGATCTGCTACTGCGAACCAGGGCTTTGCCAGGGCGGCTTCTTGGCTACAGTTTCGCAAATCGCATGATAATCAATCTCCATGATGAAACTAGTTGACCAATCTGCAACTCTTCAAGGGTGCGCATTGTTGTTTCTTCTTTCTTTTAGGGGGGCGTGTTGCATTAGGGCATCTTAAGAATCTTCTAAGAGGATGGCCCAGTCCGTGTGCTGCAAGACGGCTTCGACACGCCCCGCGCGAGTCCCGGCAGCGACGCGACCCCCTTTTTGGTCCAAATCACGAAGAAGAGCGCGTCGTTTTCTGCGAGGTTTCGACAAACTTGGCTTTGGAGATACTCCACGCAATAGCCTTTCCGTTCTTTGCAGTTTAGAAGTTGGAAAGACCTATATATTGTCTATTATAGCAGAGTGTAGAGTCCTTGAGGACAACAGCTCGGTGCATTGGGATTCAGACCCTTCCAACAGCTTTCTTGGTGCCGAGTCCGAACGGTCCGACCAAGGTACCCAGGTAAGTACGAACAGCGAGGGTCGTACGGGTGCTTGCACCGGTGGGGAGTGGTTGACTTTCCGTAATTAAGAACGAAAGAGTTGAAAGAAGCATGCGTGACCCTGGATGGATCAACTATTTTCAGGATGGTTTCAAAAGAGCAAGTACCTTGACAACTTGAATACATGCATATCAACTTCAGGACCTCAGGGTCACCTGGCTTTGAAACGTCGCCCCAAGCCCACAGACCTCTCCGGTACCCCAGATGGTACCCAGCACCCGGTCGACCTGCCACCAGTTGACACCTTTAAGTCTCCATTTCAGCCTGACCTGGCAGGTCGACCTGGCAGGTCGACCTGTTGGAGAGTCGAGATGAATGACCTTGACGACGTTGGTCCCCGGTCCCCGGGACTCCATCCGAAAGACTGCAGGGCAGAGCAATCCACTGCTTCTGACGACAGGTCGACAGAAGGCCAGACCGAAGATTTGTGAAAGCAAAGGCGACTCTTCTGGATCTGGATGGAACTCCCCAGTCCCCACCCGTTTCGTGGCCTCTCCTTCTCACCGCTGCGGGTTCCCCTTTTCTGCTTGGGATGGAGGGGTTCCAGCTGGGTCTGGGACCGTTTCCCCCCGACCTAGAGACCCTACAGACTCAACAGGGTCGACAGGGTGGACCGCACGGTCCGAAGTTCGTGGATGGGCGGGCGCTTTCACAGCTCCGTGTTGCGGATCAGGGAAAAATGGGGGGCGAACAGCACCAGACCTAGCTGTGGGGGTGGTAGGTATGTTCTGACCTCGGCCAAAAGCACGGTTTTATATGGTTCATAAGCACGGTGACGGAAGAACCGTGAACAACAGGTTGCAAGAAGAAAAAGAACGTCACGTGAACAACTTGAATTCACCTTCACCGAGCTGCTTCAGGCAGCTGGTTCAGCCAGGAGTATCCAGCACCAAGAATCTTCGTTCAGCCCGGAAGGTTGGGCTAAAGACGTTCGCATTCGGCAGTGCTCAGGACAGGATGTTCAACTACCAGCACCTTCCAACACCACATAGGACCCTGTAGTGGTACATATGGGATGTGCGAAAAAGGGCTGTTCAACCTCTCTTGGTACTCTTGACCAGCGCAGGATTTCCTCCATCGGGGCAAATGATGATGGACGAATGAACATCATGCATCCCTATCAATGAGTATCAATGAGTCCGCTACTCTTGTCCTGTGAGATTTGCCGTGCCTCTCAAAGCTCACAATTTGCTGCAACAAGCACTGCAGCAAAAGATGCCCGTGCCGAAAACGTGCAAAAATGAGGTATTTGGGTGGGGTGACGAATTCACAGAAGCTCCAGAGGCGTTTTTTCGAAACAAGCATTCCTTCCTTCCAGCTCGTTGCTTCCGTCATTTAATTCTCTAAACCGGAAGCCTCTGGTCCCAGGGACTTGCATCTAGTTCTGCTAAATCGCAAATTCGTGCACTGCAAGCAGACCTAAAGATGAGAGAGAAAGGCCAAACGGCACCAGATGCCTAGACCAGGAAAAAAATACCAGCACCCTCCAACAGGTCACCACCCGACACTTTTAAGTCTACAAAAGCCTCCAGAGGAGACCTGTTGGAGGGTGCTAGTATATAAAGTAAAGTTTCGTTTGAAGTGTCAATAGAACAACGCATGCATTTGAGTCACAGGAGAAATTCTCTGCTATCTCGCATGCATTTTCGTCACACAAAAAAAACAGCAAGCACCTGGTCTTATGGTGGTTTTTCTCGCCTGCCATGTGGACACGAAAACACCAACCAAACCCACCTTTTTCAGACTCAAAGAGTGCCTGGGAACGTGCCGAAAAAGGTTTGCTTTTCAGATGGAGAAGTTGAACCTCGAATCCAGACATGACCGGTTTTGATCGGAAAAGACCGATCAGGAAAGCTCCAAAACAGGGGTCAAATCAGGTTCTAGGCTTCTCTATGTCTCAGAGTCCTGTCATGACTGGGTCTAACTCATGCACTCCCTCCTACCCCGGTAGTGGTGGATGACCCCCAGCTGGGACCGTTTTTCACGAGTCAATTGGACTCATACCGGGCAGCGCTGTGTTTCGGAACCACCGCCTGAGGCCTGCTTCCGGGAGCGTGTTTTTGGGTCTGGTACAGTGCACGGATCATGCATCTGAACGTGAATTCTTCGGCTTCTTTGCCCATTATCCACCGCCTTCTGAGGCCCATCGTAGCGGTCCAACAAAACAGAAAAAACACGGTTATTGTTCGGTGGCTCCACAGAACCATCGCCTGATCCATCGGGCTTCTGGAAAAAAATCGGCAAAGAGGCCAAATTCTGGTTCCCTGAGACGAGCAAGATACTCAGCATCTGCAATTCCTCGATGAATTGCACCGGCAAGTCACACCGTTCGCAGCGATGAATTGGAAGACCGGCGTGCCACACAGATTCTAGACCAGTGGACTGTGGACGAAGGATTGTTGCAGTTCAACAAGAATCATGCAAAAGTCTGCATAATACGCACACTCCAAAAAGAGGAAACGCAAACGGCAATTGTTGAGAACCCTCTAGAGGCTCTAGATCTGTTTCATAACACCCAACCTTTCGCTTTGCAACCCAACAAGTCCAATCTTGTCCATGCCGCGAGTGCAATCTTATCCGGTGCGTTCTATCGTTCTATGCAACATGGACCTTGCATCTGGAAGTGAATTCTTGGCTTGATGAGGCTTCTTTGCCTTTCTCACCCCATTCCGCGTCGTTTTTTTCGTTTTCAGGCTCCACATGGGCTCGATCCTCAAATCACCCAAAGAGCCACGGTGGTACCTGCCACGGGTGGAAACCCGTGCAACCGTTTCAGACAGACAACGACGCTGACGACGCCTCAAAGGCAAGGAAGCCTCGAGTTCTCGGGCTACGAGCATCTATGCATCTGAAATAGCTTGAATTAGGCATCGCCGCAGGGGCACCGGAGGCGCCATCGATTGGCCCATCGCAGCGCCATCCATTCGCCATGTTCGTGTGCTACAATGAGGCTCAGTAGACTCTTTCCGCCTGGGACTCCTAAATCCAAAGGGATCCACCGGCGCCTGGCCGGTGCTGGCGCCCTACCGAACTCCCTGCGTCGTCGCGGTCACCTGAAGGTGACATGCGCATGACTGGTGACATGCGCTGACTGGTTAACAAGCGCTTCTCACGCTCGCAACTGGGCCCACTCACTGGCAGTGCACGAACATGGGCGTGTTGACTGAAGGCTTCACGGACTTTT